AGACATGGGTATTGCATGCCCATAAAGGTACTAAGACTACAGCTTCCTGCTGATATTGAGAGAGATATATATGCCCTGTAACACACATTTGTACAGGAAAATAAGTTTACCTTAGGAATGGTATATCCGTACAACCCTGAATGGCTTTTTACAGGGTTTGAGAAAGACAAACAGTTAAGGTTTCAAACAATCAGTACAAAACCTGGTGTATTTTTCTCTGCATGTTGGCTACTACTTATCAACCTATTAATCTCTATGTGCTTACACATTGATTATTTAATAATTTCTTCTAGTATCTTTCCAGGTATTGAAGTTAGGCTGACTGGTCTATAATTCCCTGGATCCTCCTTGTTCCCCTTTTTAAAGTTAGGTACTATGTTTTCCCTTCTGCAGTCCTCTGGGACCTTACCCATCCTTCATGAGTTCTCAAAGATAATTGCTAATGGTTCTGAGCTTGCTTCAGCAGCTCTTTAAGTACCTTAGGGTGAATTTCATCAGGCTCTGCTGACTTGAATACATCTAACTTATGTAAATATTCTTTGACCTGTCTTTTCCCCATATCTACAGGGGAGGTAAAGCAGAATCTAAGACTGAGAAATTGCTTGTTGTTTTTTTTTTCTCTGGAGATTATGGGGGATAGTTGCACAGTCTTTGTCCCTGCTATGGCTCGCTGTTCCCTTCCAATTGTGTAGCATTACACTTCACAGCGTAATTTGCTGGTCTGCCCTTTGCCCTTTTGAATAAGGCCATTCTCCACCTCCTACTCACCCACCTCAGTGTAACATCAATGAGAGTCAGAACAGCCTAAAGGGGAAGTATAGGGGATTACTATTCAGCTTTCTCCCAGATGCCCTATGATACTACATAAGCACCCCCAAGGCACAGCCTAAACAGTGAAGCAAACCAAGAACATAATTCCCAACCCCCCACATCCTCCAAGGCACAACTGTAAACCCAGATAGCATATATTGCACATCCAAAAATCCCAATCTAGCCCTCTTCATGCACATACCATTTATAATCTCTGAGCACCCCCCCAAGAATGGGAAGAATCTCAGGAAAGGGAAATAAAAAATAGCTGTTTAAAAATATTTATGATAGTCTTGGGAATATGAATATAACTGCTTGTTGTTTTTTTCCCCTACTCCCCCAGCTATGGCACCTGCAGTGGCCAGACCTGCAAGGATGGGACCTTTATGAATAGCTGAGTGGCTGGCTAACTTAAAGGGAAGAAACAGAAAACTGTGGAGGAAATGTTTCCAGACCTCACTGCAGAACCCCCAAATTGAAAACAGCAGCAAGCTGGAGGTCTGAGAGGAAAAGACAGGGAGATATCAGAGAAAGTTTTGCAGTGGCCAGAGACCGCGTTGCCATGGCAAAAGACACAGTAGAGAAGGATATACATGCAGCAGCAACTCTTGGAGGCAATCCAGAATCAGAATGCTCAGCTGCAGTGCATGCTGGTAGCAGGCACACAGACAATCCAGTGTCCTCAACCAGGACCCAGCCATGTTCTGCAATCCCTGGACAGTACAGGGAACACAGGCATATGTTCCCCACAGCCCCTAAACAGCCATTCTACCAGATACCGTTCCCCACTCCAGCTGAAACTCGAGGCAGTGAGGACAGTGTTACCTGAGAACCCAGTTCTTTTAGACATGTAACGACCCTGATACTTAGAGCCCCGGCATGCGACCCCGAAAAAGCAGAAGAAGAAGAGGCAGAGGCAAGACGTATGCTTGCCTGTGAATTGGAGCGTACCCATTCTTGTGTTTTCCCCTCCATTGCACAGTGTCACTTTAAAGAAGTATTTCATTGTTTTAATTAAAGGTTCATTTCTGCTTGTTACACAATACATTATTTAATAATAAAAAACTATCAAAAATTCATTCAAAGTTATTTGGTAATGCATGGTACACAGAAAAACTGTTACTTTTCCATAAGCCATAGGTTTTTATAAAAATATAAAGACACAGATGCAAGATGAAATAAGAAATGCCACCCAGTTACTTCTTATTTGGTGTATGCAATCCAGTTAAGCCACGCCACGCCACAGTGTTCTTATTAGCTATACAGACGCTCCCTGACTTACGCAAGTGTTCCGTTCTGGAACGCCTTGTGTAACTCGAATTTTGCGTAAGTCAGAAACGTATACCGGACCATTACGCCAAAAAAACCAAAACCCTCCTATTTCTAGCTTACGGAACTTTTTCTGTAAGTGCGGATTTGCGTAAGTCGGGTTTGCATAACCTGGGGGGCATCTGTATTCAAGGCCACACATAGAAAGTGCTGCAGTGTTCATAATTCATTCCCCACTCTCACCTGGATAACAGCTGCACATTTTCAGGCCTGAGACTAAAAGTAAAAGCAGTAAGCATCCCTGACAGTACTGCAGGGCTAGTGCAGTACAGATCTCAAAAAAGTTTGCCTTCACCATTTTGAAATTCTTTTGCCACTGCTGATCGTCCCAGTTTTGCGGAATGATCCTTTCCCACTAATCAGTGCTGGTTTCTTGAGCTCAGAAACGGCAATGCATAATGTGAAGCTGCTCCAGGAACAGTTCCTGTAGTAGCAGTTGCTTGGGGTTCTCCTCCTCCTCCTTCCTCTGCTACTGGAGAAGCTGCTGCTGCAGTCACATTATCTGCTTGGTGGTACAGTGTGCAAAGTCCAAAACTGAAGCCACCTGGCTTCAGGAATTCAAGAAGCCCAAATAGCTTCTGCACACTTGTGGCTGCTAGCACAATGGCGCAGATCATTGTTGGGTCCACGCTGGCTAACAGGAATTCAAAAATGGTGCTAGCCCACCCAGAAAGAGGAAGCATGGGACAGAGAGACTGGAATCATGGAACTTTTTATTTTGACCTTAATTCCCAGAATTCCACTGGCTTCCCCTGCACATCCCATAATGTGCAGCAAAAAACCTCTAATGCACACAGCACAACAGCGAAGCAAAGGACCATGGGATACCCTCCCAGAATGCCAAGTATTTAGGACACACCAAGCCCCTGACATCAGGACACAATAATGCAAATTGAAGGAAGGCACAGAAGTCCCATGTGCATACTACTAGTATGGTCTACCAATATGTGTCAACTCAATTTGAACTAAATCCCCCATGTACACAAGGCTTTACTTACTGTTCCAGGACTATATTGTGTCTGTGTGCCCAAAAAATGAAATTTGATTGTGCTCATGTGCAACCATCAACTTCTAGTTCAGTGACCATTTTATTTTTATCTGTCAGAATATCCAATATAGAAATACCCTGAGTTGGTTGGGATGCTTTTTTGTGTTACTTGTGCTACAGGGATAATTCTATTAGCTGGCAGCAGCAGAAGGCTGTTATTCCAGAGGGAGATGGGCTGCTTGGTCCTATGAGTGGTCAAGGGGAGTGCAAACTGGTAGGTACTCTCCTGCCTTACATGGCACCCCCAGACGTGGGGAGATGGGGCTATGTGCGGGTCCAGGGGTAAGAGTGGGGGAAACTGGTTTATTATAGGAGTTCCTAATACACTACGTGTGCTGTTGCTGCTGCTGTTTTGTCAGCAACACAAGCCCAACTCTTTAGAATGTTCAGATTTCATTTATACTAGTTATGCTTCCAAAGGTGCAAATGGAAATATTGAAATGAGGAACAGCCTTGTACGTACATGGGTGGAAGACTGTGTGAATCTCTTTTTATTCAGAAGCTGACCTGGTACTTATTTGTTTAGTACCAAAAATGTGCTCAGCATTGCAGAAGAAAAACTGAAGATAATCCTTTTCCCAGAGGGATTACTGTCCACAGGGCAAATGGAAAAGATAAAGTGCCCTATGAGGGTAGTGGCTTGGTGTGTTAGGCTTTCAGTTCCACCAAAGCTTCAATTTACTTAAGGTACTTGTCTGGCTATACTATGAGCACCTTACAGTCTTTAATGTATTTTTCCACGAGACACCCCCGAGAAATAGGAAGTGTGGTTATTCCTGTTTTTCAGATGGGCAACTGAGGCATGGAGAGACTAAGTGACTTGCCTAAGGTCACACAGGAACTCTGTGGCAGAATCAGGAATTGAACCAAGATCTTCTAAGTCCCTGGCTAGTGTCCTAACCACTGGGCTTCCCTTCCTTTTTGATCATAACAGTACAAATACGACACTAACAATAATGGATTAGGCACCACTGCTGAAGGTACCTGTCATAATGACAAGATCAAGGAAGTAGAATGGTTGAAGTGATGTTTATAAAGGGAACCCTGCCTTGCTCTGTACTTTATTAGAAGGCTACTGTGGAAAGAGACAGACAAGACACTGCAAAGCCATATCATTCAATGATCAAAAATGTGTATTCAGTGAGTAGGGTGCAAGCTCCTATGAAGCAACGGTCCATAAGAACCTTTGCCTCTTGGAGTGCCACATATTTTGCAGCATAGAATACTCTGTTGGTGTCTGTGAAATAGCTGCACATGATGGAGTTTCTTTGTTTTCCCTAAAAACTCTAAGAAAAGCATTCAGGTTTGGAAATGTCAAAGCGAAGGTTGCCTGCATGATCTAAAATATGTCCCAGTAATTAGACTTTGCTATAAAGCATGCACACAACGAAGCACAGTTATGGTTTAGAATGAGAAAAAAATTAAATTAAAACACTTCCTGACTTTTAAGTGCTTCACTTTGCAGTCTTAAGTTTTTTTTCAGGAATATATACTGTAGTTTAACAGCTCTTAAAGAACTAATAAAACATGATTAGACTAAATGTTCACTATAGCCTGATTTTGACAATTGAAAGGTTTTCTTGTGAGATTTTTGTGACTAAACACATTGTGAGGAATATAATTTATTCTCCACGTTGGTGATTTTAATAGGATGCCCTCTTCCCCCCTTTCTGAATTTTTAGAGCATGTTTAGAGGATGGATTCTGCTTTTTTAAAATACGAAAAATTAACATGTTCTCCAAAAGTGGTGTGTCTAAGAGAGTAAAACTGAACGTTACAAAAAATAACAGTTAATTTCTTTCTTTACTTTTAGTTCATCTTGTTGATATCTGGAATATGATTGAAGCCTTCCGAGACAATGGCCTTAATACATTGGATCACAACACAGAGATCAGTGTTTCTCGACTGGAAACGATAATTTCATCCATCTACTACCAGCTAAATAAACGCCTTCCTTCTACTCACCAGATCAGTGTGGAGCAATCCATCAGCCTTCTCCTCAACTTCATGATAGCCGCATATGACAGGTTAGTAACTCTTCCAGATGAATTCCTTTTTTTTTAACTAGTTCATTTATTTGGGCACACCCTGCTTAAGGGCTGCACCTAAATTTTATAAAGTGGAGCAGATTGCACATCTTTAATATAGTGATCCATCTTTAAAATCTTGTTCTTGAGCAAGATGAATCACTGCCTGCTGGGACCTGTATGTCTCTACAGGCCACATATTGGGATTAAAGATAAAGGGCAACCAAGTTGTGCATGAGGGCTCTTAGCTGGCCATGTTTGGTTCCTGGGACATATTGTAGCCAATCCTTTTTGTGAAATGCTAATTAAAATAGAAAATAACATTAACCTAATGGTAGTATGAGTTTGCTGTAAAATTGCATGATAGGAGAGTCTCAAATGTATGTACATGCAGTTTCTTGATTAAATCTGGTGCATAAGATCATGTTAATATAACATATGTTTTGATACTAAGTCTTGACCCCACCTAGAGTTTGCCAAGGAATGGGCTAACACCTAATCTTCTGTCTGAAAGAAGGACCACAGTTGTCTGTTCAGAGTGCAGCATTTTCTTTTGGTTTGGTTTGGACCCTTAAACATATATCCAAGTCCCCTCCTAGCAGTCTTCTTGCAACAGGGGTTGATCATGTTCATTAGACTTATCCCTCTTTTTAGGCAGAAGTTTTTGTCTCTGTGGAATCTCTGAATGACAGCTGTAGAGTTCCAACTGTTAATTAGCAGCTCCGCATTTTTTGGAACATCATCTGTAGTGTTTCATATTGTTCACCCCCTTAGCTATTCCTTCCTTTCCCAACCTTCCTTTTTTGCTGTTGCCCTCTCCCATAACATTGCCCATCCCATCCAGCATGACCGAGGAGCAGAGTTGGAAAATAATGTATTCAGAAAGTTACAGCACTCCTGTAAAAGTGAAACATTTCACACAACCCCACACTCCCACAGTGCAATGGACAAGTAGAAAGGCTGAACTGACCTCTGCTGGCTAGGTTGAAAACCTTGCCAGAAAGACAAAAGTCGAATAGAAGGAACTCATTTAAGAAGGCAATCTATGCCTTCTATGCAATCTATGCATCCGAAGAAGTGGGTATTCACCCACAAAAGCTCATGCTCCTATACGTCTGTTAGTCTATAAGGTGCCACAGGACTCTATGCCTATAACTGTACATGAAATGAGGCTGCACCCTTGTATTTGTTATATGGAAGATGACCATATTTGTCAATTGACCTCACATTTGATCTATCTATAAACTCTGACCTGGGGACTTTAAAGACTACATTGAGAATTGGAGACAACATTTCAGAAGCCTATAAAATGGCATCAAAATGTTGTAAAAAAAATCTGCTGCTCATGTTAAGAATCAGTATGACCAGAAAGTACACCGTGCTGCCCGCTTGCCAGGTGACAGAATACTTGTCCTGAATCTTTCAGAGAGATGGGGACCATGCAAATTAAGATCCTGTTGGGAAAATAATATTAATGTAGTATTTCAAAAGAAAGGGGATAGTCCAGTCTATGAAGTAAAAGCAGAAGATGGAGAAGGACGAGGTAGAGTTCTTCTCCACAATCTTTTTCTTCCCTGTGACTTCTTACCGTTGGAGATTACACTACCCTCTAAATCACCACAATAGACAACACAGAGAACTAGGCAAACTAGTGCAATAAGAGATCAAAATGGGGACTGGAACTTGGACTCCAGTGATTCTGATACTGAGAGTGAAGATGAACGACATTACGTAATGGTACCAGATATTGCCCATGGCACAGAGACTCTGAATCCAGAAGCAGAAACATTTAATCTATGATTGGGAAATAAGGATGATGATGATCCTGTAAATTTGAAAACTGCTGATCAAACTGATGTAACATTTGCCCCAAGCACTGAAATTCATGAATGCCAGATTATGCCAAGAAACCTGAAACCAGTAGTACACAAGAGGGCAGATCACCAGAACAATCCACTGACATTCAAGGTCATCTGACTAGAGCGATAAGAGGCCCTCAGACGCTGACATATGAACATTTAGGGACACATACTTATCAATATTTGTTGGACTGGTGAATACACCAGGGATTGTCCTCATGTTTGTCACATGTCATAACAAGTGCCTATTCCTGTACCTTATCCTGTTTTCTATACAAGACTGATGTAATATTGATAAAAGAAGTGATATTGACCTATGGTATGGATATTGCTCTATATCAAGTGTTTTATAGTACTGGATAGTTTGTAATTATGTTAATTTAATACGTTTTCTGAATAGCTTGACATATGCACTGTCACTTGGCGCTATATGGTTAAACCACTGATAATATAGGAAATATTAGAGAGTAAATAGGGTTAAGATTTTGTCACGGGTATTTTTTAGTAAAAGTCACAGACAGGTCACAGGCAGTAAACAAAAATTCATGGAGGCCTGCAACCTGTCCCTGACTTTTATTAAAAATAACAGGGGCAGTGAAGTGGGGACTAACCGCTACTCCAGGCCCATTGCTGCTCCGGTGGCGGGGACTGACCACTGCTGCTCCAGCCCCCGGAGGGCTGCTCCAGCCCAGTCCCCAGTCACTGCTCCAGCCCCACAGCTCTGGCCAGGGCTGAAGCCAAAGAAGTCACACAGGTCTGTTAAAGTCACAGAATATGTGACCTCAGTGACAAAATTGTATCCTTATTCATAAGGTATGAAAATCTTTGGGGATTTAGGGTGTTCAAAACTGATTATTTAGTTGTATAGTGGAACTAAAATTGCTGCAGAAACTTTCTGCTTTGTGAATAAACTGAAGAGCAATGCAGAAACTTTCACCATTAGTACCAGCACTTGTGACACAGGAGAGGCCCAAACTGTCAATAGGGAATAACAGTTATGAGCGTGTAGAATACGTGGATTACTGCTAATAAGTCAGATGGATGGACTCCGTGATTCTCAAACTTTCGTACTGGTGACCCCCTTTCACATAGCAAACCTCTGAGTGCGGACCCCCCCCCCCTTATGAATTAAAAACACTTCTTTATATAGTTAACACCATTATAAAAGCTGGAAGCAAAGCGGGGTTTGGGGTGGAGGTTATCAGCCCCCCATGTAATAACCTCGCGACCCCCTGAGGGGTCCCAACCCCCAGTTTGAGAACCCCTGGACTATATGTTTTGTTTTTTCAATGGAAGTGTTGGAATTATATTACATTTACGAGGGGGGACTGTAGCACTCATATGAGAATGTCAGGGATAGACATTGTGGTTCCAGTGTGAGTCTGTGGCCGAAAGAGCTAATAAGATTGTAGGATTAATAAACAGGGGAATCTTGAGTAGGAGGAGAGGTTATTTTACCTCTATATTTTGCACTGGTGAAATCGCTGCTAGAATGCCACATCCAGTTCTGCTGCTCACAATTCAAGGGTGTTGTTAAATTGGAGTGGGTTCAGAGAAGAGCCTCAAGAATGATTAAAGGATTAGAAAACATGTCTTATAGAGAGAGATTCAAGGAGCTCATTCTTTTAGCTTAACAAAGAGAAAGTTAAGGGGTGATTTAATTACAGTCTATAAGTATCTGTATGGGGAACAAATACAGTGTAGCATAGGCATAGCATAATCCAATGTCTGGAAGTTGAAGATAGACAAATTCAGGCTGGAAGTAAGGTGTAAATTCTTGACAGTGAGTGCAATTAACCATTGGTACATTTTACCATGGGCCATGGTGGATTCTCCATCACTGACAATTTTTAAATGAAGATTAGATGTTTTTCTAAGAATTTGGTCTAGGAATTATTTTGGGGACGTTCTGTGGCCTGTGTTATACTGGATGCCAGACTAGATGATCACAGTTTTCCCTTCTGGCCTTGGAATCTGTGAGTTTACCTGTGTCTTGTCCCTTTAAGGATTGAAGTTCTGCTGAAAGGGGCAAAGGGAAAAGCTCCGGTTGCAGCAGCAGAATTGTGTTCTGAAAGGACTGAGCAGCAATGGGGCTTGTGCAACCAGGGGTGACTTTTTTGATTGGTTTGTTTTATTTATTTCTAAATTTAATAAAACTCCAGTTTCAAAACTTTCCTTGGTGTGAGAGTGAAACACAAGTGGACCTGAGCCAATCTGAACAGCCTGCTCTTGAAGTAAACCAGTAAACCCCAACATTTTCTCAGGGGACTCGTTCCCTTGGCCAGTTTTTCAATTTCCAAGGTCAAAAGAATTTCTTAAAGCCCAACCATAATGGAGCTAAGCATGTGAAAGTTTCCTATGACAACGTATCTAGCACTTCCTCCTGTTCCCACTAATGGGGTCTCAAGAGCCTGTGTCAGTGTTTTGCACCCTTCTAGAAAGCTGTGTACTTACCTTATGGCACTGAATGATCATAGCTCAGGGCTATTTAAAGGAGGTGGGAGCCCCAACCACCTCACTTCCTTCTGGCTGCTTAGGACTGAGGATATAAGAAACCTCAGAACTGTGCCCATGTCTCACCAAGCCAGACAACTAAGACACTTTTTCTCTTGTACATAGCTTGGTATTTTAGCTTTCTTAGATAATTTCCTAGCTATAAATAGTTCAGAGCTGTTTCCTGGTTTGTGTTCTGCCTGGCAGAGGTAGACCATTCTGCCCCTCTGGTCAGAGCTGATGTCTGCTTGGCTGCCTTTACTTCCTGACCCAACAGGGATCATCAGTTAAAGTTCCAGGCTGGGGCTTGTGCCATGCCTGGACCAGTCTCTACTGGCTCCAAAACACACTACTTCCGAGTTGCATAAGTTGACTTTGACACCACCTGTTAAGGTGGGATCTGAGAAGGCTCTGCATCCTGATAGTGGGGAAAGAGAAGGTCTTTGGGGTTATTCTTTTTGTTGAGACATCCATGGCACCAAAGATTGCCTGTGGCTCCTATTTTGCCTGTCTCTGGTCAGTGTAAAAGCACTCCTCAAATTGGAAGCTATCCAAGGTTCAAGATTCCAGTGCCAACACTTCATCCTCAATGCCAGCCAAGACCTCTATACCTGGTGCCAGGACAATTCCCCCATGCTCCCAGACCCC